TTTTCCCTTGCACTTTTTAACTAGCTGGGCATTCGACAGCACCACTGTTGATGTCATCCATGATGTCGTGAGGGTGGCAGCAGTCAACATTGCAGCCCCCTGACTGGGCCATCCCCAGGATCTCTTTAACGGTTCCAGGGAGTTCTCTGGCTAAAGATCAGTGTCACATCTGTCTGGCAGTGTTGACAGTCTCATCAAAAGTGATATTGCTGTCTTGTTTAATGTTTTTCTGTTCCTTTCTGTCTCAGTGGTTCCTTGAGGGCTTTGATGATGAGGGTAGATGCAGAAGGTACCACCTCAACCTGGGCCTGTGTGTTCTGTTAGTTTCACCGTAATCCTCAGACCCTTCCAGTTACTGGTTGCCTTGGCAATGTTGTAATACCTGAAGCAAGTGGACTAGAGAAACGCCAGCACACTGAGTCCAAATTAAGCAAGTGTCCTTTATTGATCTGCCGAGAGTGGGGTTATGCCTCAAAGTCTCTTGACCCTCAGAAGCAGGGTTGGAAACCTTTTATAAGGCGCTTTCTGTAGGGAAGGAGGAGTCCTTAATGGAAGCCAAATTTCACAAGAGCCAACACCTGCAAAATTAGATCTATAGGGTAAGGGGAATGCTTACAAGGGGGAGCTGTGGTTTCACAGGATTTTGCAGTTTTTGCTAACCTCTGCAGCTCTCAGCTGAGCTTAAAGGGGGTGTGATGAATGCCCTTAGCAAAAGTCCTTAGCAAAACGGAGTAAGCTGGCTCTATGTATAAAATGGAGTTAGGGCATTACAGTGTCATCACCATCCTTTTTTGGAGACAAACCAGGGGGCCAATCTTGGGGGCCAGGGCAGACGTGGCACCAACCTCACCACCAATATACCTTAGGTACACAACTTTGATCTCGTTGGGGTTGAACTTAGGAGCATGGTGGAGGCGGCTGGTGTCAGATCAACCCAGATTCAGACAACTGAAGAAAGTTGCACATTGGCCTCCTCTGAGTGGAAAGCCGAAAGTTTGTTTTGTTTTGGTTTTTTTAAGAAAGAGTCTCCCTCTGTTGCCTTAGTGCCATGGTGTCTAAGCTCATAGCAACCTCATTCTCTTGGGCTTGTGCAAGCCTCTTGCCTCATCCTCCAGAGTAGCTAGGACTACAGGCATGCGCCACTATGCTTGGCTAGTTTTTCCCCACTTTTAGTAGAGATGGGGGTCTCACTCTTGCTCAAGCTGGTCTTGAACCCCTGAGCTCAAGCAATCCACCCACCTTGGCCTCCCAGAGTGCTAGGATTATAGGTGTGAGCCACTGCACCCGGCTATAAAGTTGATTCACATGTAACTAGGATTCCAGAATATCTTCCAAAGATCCCACAAGGATTATTTTACTTGAATATTCAAATAATATGGCCAAGTACCCATTCCATGGATGAAGGGAGCCCAGCCCCTCCCCAAAATCTCCCTGAATTCCTGGGGCTATTCCTATTAGTCAACCCTGCTAATCTCTTCCAAGACTCTCCTCTCTAGTGTGCCAGCCTTCAGCCCCCAAATTCCTGTTACTTTCTCATGCAGACTAAGTCAGCTGGCTCTGTGTCTTCAGCTTCCCTCTTCTGACTCTGCCTTATTCAAAGAGATTCATCAAGGTATTTTTCTAACCCTCCTCCTAAAAGCTCCCCAAATTCTCTCTCCTCTGTTATAAATTAAGTCTATCTTGCCCTGCAGTCAGTCAGGTTTAGGGGATTTTGTTTGGTTTGGGGTTTTTTTGTTTTTAAGACAGACTCTCAATTTGTCACCTCAGTAGCGTGCTGTGGCATCATAGCTAACAGCAACCTCCAACTCTTGGGCTTAAGCAAGTCTCTTGTCTCAGCCTCCCAACTAGCTGAGACTCTAGGTGCCCACCACAATGCCCAGCTATTTTTTAGTTGTAGTTGTCATTGTTTGGCAGGCCTGGGAGGCTGGATTCAAACTCGCCAGCTCTGGTGCATGTGGCTGGCACCCTAACCACTGAGCCACAGGCACCAAGCCTCAAGTGATTCTCTTACCTCAGCCTCCCAAGTAGCTGTGACTATAGGCACCTACCACAACACCTGGCTATTTTTTAGAGACAAGGTCTCACTGTGGCTCAGGCTGGTCTCCAACCTGTGAACTCAGGCAATCCACCTGCCCCAGCCTCCCAGAGTGCTAGATTACAGGTGTGAGCCACCATGCCCGGCCCAGATTTGGTTTTTTGAGATAGATTCTTGCTCTGTTACCCAGGCTTGAGTGCAGTGATGTGATTATAGCTCAAGTGATCCTCTCAGCCTAGCCTCCTGAGCAGTTAGGACTATAGACATGTATCCACCACACCTGGTTAATTTTTAAATTTTTTGTAGAGATTGGGGTCTGCTATGCTGCCAAGGCTGGTCTTGAACTCCTGGCTTCAAGTGATCCTCCTGCCATGATCTCCCAAGGTGCTGGGATTACTGCCATGAGCCACTGTACCTGGCCCAATTTCAGTTTTAAGTGGCACTTTCCCCTTCCTGCTGCCTGTTCAGCAATGTAAGAAAAAGTGATGATTATGTCTACCATTTCTGCAGTACCTAGTAGGTGCATATCTTATCTCTAATCCATACCAATTCCGTGAAGTAGTAGACAGTATCATGCCCATATTACAGATAGGGACACTAGCCTCAGAGGTTAAGTGACTTGCCTGCAGTCCCCCAGCTGCTCGTCGGTAGTGTTTGACTATGAACCAGGCCTGTCTGATTCCTAAGCAGATGTCTGTCTGCATCTCTACCCAACATAGTAAATAACTGCCTCCCTCCATGGGATGCCATCCATTCTGCCTCTTTATTCTATCTCCATTCTTCTCAGGATTCCCCTGCAATGGATTGGTGGAAGAACAATTTCTGGATCATCTTAGCTGTGGCCATCATCGTTGTCTCCGTGGGCCTGGGCCTTATCCTGTTCTGCGTTTGTCGGTGGCATCTTAGACAAGGTAATGGCCACTATCTCATCTGGAGGTGAGGGGATGAGGTGGCCTCCTTCAGGGCAAGAAGGTTAGTTCTGGGCCTGTATGGGCTGGCCTTGGATTGAGCATACATTCTGGATTTGAATCCTGGCCCTGCCACTAATTTATGTCCCTGGTCCTCAGTTTTCCCATTTGCACAGTGAAGGGAGGGGAGAGGTTAACTAATCTCAAAGAACATTTCCAGCCCCAAGGGTGTGGGTGAAAGCAGAATCTGCTTGAAGGCACAGTATGTTCAAGTGCTTTCTCTTTGCTCTGTGGCTGTTGATTTCAGCATCTTGTCTCTGAGGTTTGCAAAAGAACACAAGTCTATGGAAAGTCCCAAACTGTCTTACGAGTGAAATACGGACTCAACTCATGACCAGCATGTTTGGCCACCATGATTGTCTTTTCCAGGATCACACTCTGAATTTTCTGGGATTATCCCCACCGCCATGAATAAGGAGCAATTTGGGTATTAACATTAACTTTAGATTATCTCCAAGTGGGTTTCCACATTGTTGTTCATCTCCAGAAACATGAAATCCTTGATTCAGTGGTGTGTTGTCTTGAAAGTTCATTCATTTAAGTAATGACCTAAGTCAGCCGTTCTCAACCTGTGCATCGCAACCCCTTTGGGGGTCTCCTGCATATCAGATATTTACATTACGATTCATAACAGTAGCAAAATTACAGTATGAAGTTGCAACAAAAATAATTTTATGGTTGGGGGTCACCACAACATGAGAAACTTATTAAAGGGTCGTGGCATTAGGAAGATTGAGAACCACTGACCTAAGCCAAGGGGAGTAGACCTGGGGATGGTAAATACACTGAGAGGCACAGCCACCTTCCCCTGGGGCACCCTCGCCAGGCCTCCCTCATGATCCCATTGCCTCTGGACATAGTCTCGAAATCCTGCTTAACCAGTGATGAAAGGTCAGGACTGCACAAGAGTAAAATCTTTTTGTCATTCCTCTCAACCTTTCCTTAGAGATAAAAAAAATTACAGTTCACTGGGAGGCTGAGGCAAGAGGATCGCTTAGGTTGCTGTGGGCTATGATGCCACAGCAATCTACTGAAGGCTCTGTCTCAAAAAAAAAAAAAAAATTAAAGTTCAGAGGGGAGATGGCACCTTAATTGAGGTGCTCTAAGAGTTGGTGGCAGAGTTGATACCAGAACTCAGGTAGTTCAATGTTTCTTTCCCTCTATCCCTTAATCATAATTAATTTGTCAAATACAAATAGTGTATTCTGGGCCCCCATGCTCTTTAATTCATTCACCTTCTTAGAATTTTTTATTCTCAGATATGGAAAAAAGTATGACCCTAAACCAAATTTTACCTATTCTTTCATTTTGAGCCATTCCTATTACTAAGCAAGGTATATTTAATAATAATTTATATATCCATCACATCACAGTTTACAAACTACTTTCCCATTCTTTATCTCATTTTCTTCCACTCAACTAACTTTTGGTTAGTCATTCAATCAACATTTCTGAATGTCAACTAAGTTCCGGGCATAGTCCTAAACAATGGGTAAATAAATATGGCCCTGGCTTGGCGCCTGTGGCTCAAGTGGCTAAGGCGCCAGCCACGTACACCCAAGGTGGTGGGTTCGAATCCAGCCCGGGCCTGCCAAACAACAATGATGGCTGCAA